GAAGGACGGGCTGGCGGGCGCTAACCTCGCCCGTTCTCCCCGCGTCGTGCTAAGGGTGGTGGCTGTTTCCGCTGGAGCAGCTCCCGCCTGGCCTTTCTTTGAGGTGGAAAAGGTCGCTGGGCTGAAGGGACCGGCGCGTCAGAGGCGCGCAGTGTAGGGAGGTCGGGGAGGAACGGAAGAGGCCCCGGGAAATTAGCTTCCCCACGTTGGGTTGGGCTGCCCTCTCGGGCAGGGGAGGCTTTGTAAAATAATTCACTTTACCTTCGAAAGCAAAGGGAAGACGGGAGCGCCTGAAGCCAAGTGTCTCCTCAGGGCTCCGGTTGCAGGGAGGAGCCCTGACTGGCCGCACGTGACGACCCGGCGTATAAGACGACCCCCCCAGTTGGAGGCATGATTTTTAGGGCAAAAAAGTCGTCTTATACGCCGGCAAATACGGTATATTTTTTAGGAATGTTACAAATACAGAGAGGAAAGTGATATATATCTCTTTTGCTCCGTGGCAGCTTGTATTGACACCATACTGCAATGAATTTGGACATGGCATCCTGTCATTAAACTGTCTAGCCTCTTGGATTTATCTAGTTCTCTTTTTAAACCATTTAAATTTATGACCAGCAGCATTTCTGCTGGTAGCAAATTCCACAGTTAACCATGTGTAGTATTCCTTTTATTCATCCCGAATCTCTCCATATTTAGTGTTAATTGATGATTTTGAGTTCCAATGTGTGTATGAGACATAAATTTCTGTTTATTCACATATCTGTATTATGCATGGTTTTGTATGTGAAAAGACATTATCCAGGGGTCTTTTGTGGAAGGAGGAAAAACAGTAGTTGGTAACCATGGAAAAATACAAATAAAAGCAATGTTGAAGAAATTGTCCAACATTTTTTGTTAATTAGATGGAGGAATCATCCAATTAAAATACTCACTGACTTTATTGGAGCTTAAAAGTAAGAGACATCTCAATCCTAATAAAATAACCCTAACCAATTTTATAAAGATTTTTATTTATCTTCTGATAATCTTATCTGCACGCAGCATATCTGGCCTCATGTCCTGATTACACCCAGAGTAGGCAACAGCAAGCGCCCCCAACCTGTGGACTGGTAGGAGTGGGCTGGTAGGAGTTTGCAACTGGGCTGTGGAAACAGCCAGCGAGCATGCAAGGGTGCATGCACATTCTCACTTCCGCAAGCAGCAGGCGAGCCTGTATGTGTGAACTCCATTTGCGGGTGCAATAGGTGCAAGTGCACACTGTTTGTACAAATGGAGCCCCCCCCCGTGTCTGCTCTTGCCGACTGCTTGTGCAAACCATCCCTTTCCCCTCCTCCCACTGATCAACAAAGCCAGAAATGTTGGGGAACTCTGAGCTACAGTACTGAAACTTTGTTTAAGAGTCTTTTAAACAAAGTTTCAGTACTGTACTAAGTTTCAGATGTTCCAACCACTTACACAATGTCAGTTATAAGGTAGGCGAAGGAAATGTTACACCTATTTATTGTTCGGTTTAGTCACTGCCTATCATTTCAAAACTATATTCAAAATATTCAGTTTGAAAACTCTGATTAAGTAGGCACTAAATTATTTGAATGAGCACCTATGATGAAGTGATCAGGATAGAAACTGGGAGACAGGGAGTTCTAGTTCCATCTTAGGCACATAGCCATTTGGGGGACCTTGGGCTAGTCGCTTTCTCTCAATCCTAGGAAGGAGGCATTGGCAAAGCACTTCTGAAAAACCTTCCCAAAAAAACCTGCAGGGACTTATCTAGGCAGTCTCCAAGAATTGAACATGACTGAACAGAAGATTAAAAAAACAAACTTCACAGTTAGTGACTATTAAAAATTTATGAAAGTAACTTTACTTGCTTGCATTGATAACATACAATGAAGTATGAAGTTCATAACACTTTTAGTGATGATCTTTGTCTTCTGGAATTTTCTCTGATTCTTATCACTTTCAGTTTTCAAGTTGGTCTTTGAAGACTTTTGTTAAGGAGAATATCAGTCCATTAAGTTGACATTGGAAGAAATATCCATCTGGTTCAGTTCCAAGCTGGGGGAACGGCACTGGAGACAAAATGGAGGCTGGAGGCTGATTGGAAAGAGTGTCCATTTATTAATGAAGCAGAAGTACATGGGTGGTTCTGGGCAGCTGACCATATGGAATTGAGAATGAGGGGTTTTTATACCTTCTCTTGGGCTTTGCACTTGAACTTCCTGTTCCTGTGCAAGAACATGTATTCTATTGGCTGTTGTAGGGGTCATAGCTAGCTCTGTAGGTTGTCTGAGAAGGTTGGTTGAAGTTTGGTCTCTGATGCAATGTCCTTAGGAGATTGTGCTGTAAAGTTTGGCTATAATTTAAGATCACGATGTGCCAAAAATGAACTTAAGAGAGGCTTTGAAGAACAAAATCTAACTTTAATTGATCAATAAGGTTAGGGTAAGACCTATCCTCACATATGCACAAGATAGATATGAGAGGAAGGCTACAAAGCATATAGAGAAAGTAAAGTCTTCTTAAACCCTTAAGATCCTTAGAAGTCAAGTCATATACTTTAAGTGCATTGCAAAACGCTCTAACTTAGATTTACATCTTCCTGCAAAAGATAGATCTTTTCCTGGCAATGTTTACCTTTCATGATCTCTTCTCCTATTGTACATCTAATTGATCACAATTGACCACTTAAGGAGGCTATTAACAGCATACTTCAAAGGTGTGGATTCCTCCAAATGGAGGTACGTTACATTCCCAGAGAAGTACGTTTCATTCCCAGGCGGGTGATGCTGGGGTGAAATGTATCAATCTAGGAAAACAGATGGATTCAGATTGATTTAGATGGGACAATCATGTGTCTTAATAGGAGAGGGATGTAATTGACTGCAGGCATGTGTTTATAATTGTTTTACAACAAGTGAAAGGTTAAGGAAATCTTTTTTACAACAGCAAGATAACAAATGCCTGTAGGGTAACTCTCTACTTAATGCTATAATACAGTGGCCCCAACCTTTTTTGAACCAGGGACCGGTTTCACGATTATTTATTCTTCCACGGACCGGTACCTGAGTAACGCGAGACTCCACCGCCATCGGGACGGCTCTTCATTCGAAGCCGCTGCCCCCTC